TGTACCCCGCCTCTCGCCCTATGACAGCTGGGATAGGCTCCAGCGACCCTGAAAAGGATAAGCGGAAGCGAATGGATGGTTAGAACTTTGGAACAGCTGTTTTGGAATGAATGAAAGTTTCTTTGTTTCACTGACACCAGAGAACCAAAAGAATAATAATTTCACCATCAACTTTTGGTCCCTAGATGCATCTGTTGGATTTGTGCATCAGCATTATTTTATGTTCCAAGCTAGATACATTTGTGACTTGTAGTTGTGTATAGGAAGTGGTTTGGTTAAATCTCCTGACTGGTCTTTTAAAACTCACACTGACCTCATTTCACAGGATTACTCCTTACAGCTGTTATTGTGCTGTTTGTGTCTTATGTATGAATTTGTGTTTCCATCAGCCAACACTCAAAATAACCTGGAAACCAGTGAAGTCAGAAAATCGGAACATTTCAATGTGGCGGCATCACTACTGGAGGTGGGTCTCCTTCTCTATTAGCAGGTAAGATCTACTTTGCTATTAAATAGCACTAGTAAAGGGTTTTTTTCTTTGTTTCTCGTGCTTAAAGGTGGAGAAGCCCACCCTGGCGACCAATCTGACTCATCGATCCTTTAAGACCAACCGAGAAATGGTGACTAAACCTCTGAGCTGTGAACAGGCAGCTGACTGCAGAGACGCCTTTGTGAAGGTAATGAGGGAGAGCCAGCAATTTTAAATCACTGCTTCCTTATTGGTTCCTGGCATAGGATGAAAGAAACCTGGGCCCTGTAAATGCTGCACGCTGTACTTTATGAGGAAGCGTTCCAGTTTCACTGTGATAGAGCAGGAGATGGTTTCCAACCTTTGACTGGTGCTTACAGCGTTGCTACAGTTACTCGGCATGTTTTAGAAAACTCTCGTCTTACTTTTCCTTGATGAGCTTCAGTGTAGATTGACTGATTTCTTATGTTTGTAAGGTACAAGACATGTAAAAATCCACACGCATCGTCACCAACATGTGGGTCAGGTGCAGAGCTCAAAAGAAACAATTAAATATAGAAAAGAATAAACAGTTTGCGTGTTTCAGAACTCCACCAAAATGTAACTCTGCTTGGTTTCTGTTCTCTCAGGCGATCTACAATAAGCTGTTCATATGGATTGTTAAGAAAATCAACAGTGTCATCTACAAGAAGCTGACCAGCAACTCCAAATCAGCCTACCTGTCCGTCGGCCTGCTTGACATCTTTGGCTTCGAGAACTTCAACACTAACAGGTCAGGAGGTTTTTTTCTGTACTTCCTGTTTTGTACTTCATCAGATATTTTTTTCATTTTGACTTTTTATTTTGAATTCAGTTTAGTTTATATTAGTTTAGTTTTTATTGTTGTTATAAATTTTTTTTTATTAGTTTCAGTGTTGGTTTTAGTCTTTATAGCTATTATTGTAGTCAGGGCATACGCCAAAAGCAAGGTTTTACAAAATCAGTACTGACATTACAATTTAAGAAACAAAAAATATTGATAGCAGGCGACTCACAGGCTCATAAACTTCCAAAGTCTCAATAAACATTTTTGTCAAAGCCTTAATAGACAAGTTGTGATAACAAATTTTACACGATTATCAAATAATAAAGCTAAGAATATATTTTTTATTTTCACAAAATCGTTTGTTTCATTTTTTTCTAAACTCTAGTTTTTCTTTTTAATTTAGTTAACTAAAAGTCTAGTACTCTTTTTCACTATAGCATTGTTCAGCTACAAAAACCTTAGCCTGAACTGTTGATGCAAAGCAGCATAGATTAGATATTTAAGTAAACAAGCAGCTGAACCTAATAAAGTACATAATAAAGTGGCCTGCGAGTGTACATTACCAGTATCCTCATTTTTACCCATTCGATTAGTTGAGTCAAACGTATTTCTCAGATATCTTTAAGCTTTCACAGCCACAGCACCGCCGCCCTGACATATTTATGAAGCATTAGACGATCAGACAGAGCTGGCATTTCGTGGTATACTAAGGCATCTAATTTTCACAGTTATCACTATTTACAAGCCATCGTTTATTTTACAGTTTTGAGCAGCTTTGCATTAACTTTGCCAACGAGAAGCTGCAGCAGTTCTTCGTGGCCCACATCTTCAAACTCGAGCAAAAGGAGTACCTGAAGCAGGGCGTCGTGTGGGATAACATCAACTTTAGCGACAATCAGAAGATTCTCGACCTTCTAGCTGGAATACAATGTAATGTGCTGGCTCTCGTTGATGAAGAGAGCCACTTTCCAAAGGTATGCTTCTGCTGAGGTTTCTTATTTAAGGTTCTGCCCTGCTGCTTTTTAATTCAAAATAATCACTTGGTTGGCCTTAGGGTACAGACGCTACGATGCTAGAGAAGTTGAACCAGCACCACAAAGGAAACAAGAACTACATCGCCTCCAGGAGTGAACGCGACACAAACTTTGGGATATTCCACTTCGCTGGCCTGGTTCAGTACGACTCCAATGGTAGGCAAGCAAACAGCAAATATTAAAACCTCAGCCAACGCAAGGTGCTCATGAGCGCAGTAATAATTTGTTGTTGCCTTTTTTCCTCCTTCCTCAGGTTTCTTGGAAAAGAACAGGGATGCTGTCAGTTCTGACATCATTAAGATGCTTGACATGTCTGCCAATAAGCTACTGCGTGACATATTTGAGTCTGAACTGTCAACCAATGGGATTAAGGCTGTTAAAAATAAGAAGTTCATCATGACCCCAAGCAACTCTCTGCGGGTATGAAAGGATAAAGTCATGTCCGATCCTTGGGCAAACTGCAATAAATGTTCCTGTGTCATTTAGTTTCATAACGCTGCCAATGTTTATTTGATCAGGTGTATCAACGACTTCATTTTTGAGTTTTTCCTTCTGTCACGTGTCATCCTCACAGGGACCGGCTGACACTCGCAAACAAGTGCCGACGCTTAGTGGCCAATTCCGGCAGTCTCTGGACTCCCTAATGAAGGCTCTGTCTGCCTGCCAGCCTTTCTTCATCCGCTGTTTCAAACCCAACAACGACAAGCAATCTGAGGTGAATGAGCAACTGCTTCCGCCGCCATGGCAACATCATACAGTTGCTGTGTAAACTGAGCAATCATGTATGCTAAGAAAGGGAAATGAGGGGGAAGCTTGTGATATAAACTAGTGTATTTCAGCAAACTAATGTTTGCTGAAATTAAGTTCAGCAAACTAATGTTTGAAAGGATGTTGCTGTGTTTTTTGTTTTGTTTTGTTTTTATGTTTACTGCCACCATTTGCAATAGAGCTCATTCTGTTTTGTGCCATAAACCAACGGAGCCAATTTCCTGTTAGATATCACCTGATATCACAGAGAGTAAAGTACAATGCTGCGCTAGTATCTGGTGAGCTTTTCTCACCCTTTGGATTTAGACTAGAAGTCATGAAAAGTTCACACATTCTGAACTCCCTGACCAATAATGTGGCAAAGCTTTGTCAGTCCACAGTGCCACGTGTCACAGTTCTGTGAAATCCAAGCACCTGCTGGCAGGACTGGCACTTACTTGGTGATCGTGGTCCACACAGGACAACTTCAAATTCAAATGGGTCATTAAGTCTCAAATCAGCAAATGCTTTGTACATTTTCTGCTTGACCTTCCCTAATTTACCTAAAAATCTAATAAGCCAACGTTTGAGCATATGTAAGGATTGCTATTAAAAAGAGCACTGAATTTTCCAGGGTTTTATCTTCAATAGATTTTTAGATATTCATGTTCAAAAATTACCACATATTTCAAAGTGTGAAAAAATATCCGGTGGGTTGACGAGCCATTTTTCAAAAAAATTGATCTTGAAAAGTATTTGAGCAAAAATTTTCACAGCAATCATTATATATGTTCAAACTCGGGACCATAAAAAATGTTAAAATAAAATTTGAAGACATTTTTGAGATGGAATACCTCAGAGGTATTTGACTTTTCTTCCAGCCTCTCTGAGGTTAATAGCTGTTGTAAAAAATAAAAAAGTGAGAATAAACATTGGGTAGATTTGAAATTTGATAGAATCAAAATCTGGCACACGAATATATATTCACATGTGCCAAATTCGGCTTGGATGATCATTTGATTGGGTACACACTCAAATCAAGCTTAGAGTAATGAACTGCTGACATTTTACTGTAGATGTGGAAATCACCCCATAGTCCAGCCTGAAAAATAAAAAGGTTGGATAGTTGTTGTGTTAAGAGAATATTCATCACCACTTTAATTTGTTCTCTTCTAGGTGTTTGACAGAGAGCTGTGTATGCGTCAGCTGAGATACTCCGGCATGATCGACACCATCCGTATTCGGAAGCTGGGATTTCCCATTCGACACACATTCGACGACTTCTTAAAGCGCTACAGGGTGCTTCTGAAGACGACCGTCTGCAACCCCAATACCGTTAAGTCATGATGCATCCTGTTTTTGGAACCCAAGATGTGAAAATGAGTCTTTTATTG